ATTTTATTATTAGATTCGATATCTATATATATATATATATATATAAGATCGAGATTTTTACAGTTTTAATATATATATATATATATATATTTTAACAGTTAAAAGTAATTATTTATAACTTTGATAGATTCATGCATGTTGTGTCTTACATTTTAGAAACATTTTTTACAAATCATATTTGAAAGATATTCACAAGACACGCATGTACATTATTTCAATGTTAGGATCTTTAGTATATTATTATACATTTTCTTTTTATTTTTTTTTTTTTTTTTTTTTATACATATATATATTTTATTTTTATTAATACACTTTACCATAACAACAACGGCAACAACAACAACATCACAATTACTTTGCCAGTAATTCTCGTTTAATTAATAATAGTCCGTTCGATCTTAGCAAATACATCGAGGATTTAGAAATGTATACATATATATATATATATATTATATATACAGAAGGTATCCTGTAATTGGTGGTACAACCGAGCTAGGAATGATTCAACATGATAATAATTAAGTTGAAAAATGTAAAATACCAAATTTGTTAAATACCAATGCACTTGACTGAGAACTTACAATTTTGAAAAAAGTAAAGAACCTTGTTCAATAAATAATTCAAAAATAAAATAAACAAATTGTATTCTACATTTTTGACATAATTTTTCATATTAGAATCAGCCCATACTGTAAAATACAAACTTTGTTAGTAAAAAGCTTCGTTTTTGTATAAAATGAATCAAAATAAAGTGCACTCGACTGAGAGCTTACAATTTTGAAAAAAGTAAAGAACCTTGTTCAATAAATAATTCAAAAATAAAATAAACAAATTGTATTCTACATTTTTGACATACTTTTTCACATTAGAATCAGTTCATACTCGCTAAACCATTAGTTACAAATCACCATGAATATAATACATATATATATATATGTATACATAAAATATTTAGAGCTATGTGTATACAAATTTTGCTAAGATACACCAATGAAACTTGTTATATAAATATAAAAGAGATGATTGTAGATACATTTCGTTCGTTATCGTCATCAGAATAAGGGTCGATATTGCAGTTATTATTATTCGCATATTTTATTCCATATTTTTTTGTTTTTTTTGTTCACGACAAAAGAAAAGATATTCCAATATCTCGTCAACTATATCAAACCTTATCTATATATATATACATAAACATATATGTATAATAGCAATATATATATATATATATATGTTTCTATATAAAAAAAAATAAAAAAAAATGTAATTGATTCAGAAAAAAAAGCAATATCGGTTCTGTATCGTTTTTAACACGGCATGCGTTCAGCATAGTATATAACGTAGGCTGCATACAAATAATGTTGCAGCATTATCGTGGTAGCATGAAGTCCTTGAATACTGGAATAGTGACCCTGCTGAACTACGGAAAGCACGTTCCACCCGCGGTATCTCACGTCACATTGGCTCACGAGATTGGTCACAATTTCGGTTCGCCGGTAAGTCTTTGATATTTTTCACCCACCCACTTTCCTCAACCCCTCAACCCCTAACCCACCCCCCTATCCCTCAAAACCATTTACCCTTTTATCCACATATTTATTTTTCTCTTATATATATTTGAAAGAACAAAATGTATATTTGCATTTGTATTATACAAGCGCGTACTAGTGAAACCATACAACAACAACAACATCAACAAGAACAACAACAACAACAACATCTTTTCATTATAGATGATAATTTTAAAAATAAGAATTAATGAAATATAATTATAATAAATGTATCCTTCGTATCTTTCGTTAGCACGATCCGGAACAATGCACACCAGGTGGGGAAGATGGAAATTTCATAATGTTCGCTCGTGCTACCAGCGGTGATAAACGTAACAACAATCGCTTCAGTCCTTGTAGTTTGAACGCAATTAATCCTGTACTCAACAGTAAAGCACGTTCACCAAAGGGATGCTTTACAGGTGACTAATTTTAATCATATTATTATCATTGATAAATTTAATTACATTTTATCATTTCTTTATGTATATTTGAAATAACATGGTACACAATTTTTCTCTTTTATTATAATATACATTTGTAACTATATATATATGTAAATGTATAACATTTCTCCATAGAACCACAAGTATCATTGTGTGGAAACGGTGTAGTCGAGGATGGCGAAGAATGCGATTGTGGATGGGAAGAAGATTGTCGAGATACTTGTTGTTTCCCCCAACGTCGTTATCCACCAAAAGAAGAGACACCCTGTACACTTACACCACGTTCAGTGTGCAGTCCTAGTCAGGTATTTCTACTTGATATATTATCTCGTGTCTAATGAAAAGCCAGATCTAATATAACATAAGGAAACACACATACTTTATAGAACATTTATTTCTATGTATTGTTACACTTTAGGGTCCATGTTGTACCCCTGATTGCAATCTTAGGTTTGGGGATAAGTGTAGGGATGACAATGGTTGTCGTGATGCTAGTTTCTGCGACGGTAGATCACCCTATTGTCCTCCATCAATCAATAAACCCAATAAGACTATTTGCAATCGGGAATTGGTTTGTTTCATGGGCGTAAGTAATAAATTCATTATTATTATTATTGTATAAACTTTCAATATAATAATATATTGTTTTTATTTTATTTCTTTTTTTAGGAATGTACCGGAAGCATTTGTTTAGCATATGGATTAGAATCTTGTCAATGTATTCCTGGTCCTAATGATCCTACAACTAAAGCTTGTGAACTCTGTTGTCGATTACCTGGTGAAAATCAACCATGTTTGTGAGTATTATTAAAATACTTTATTTCTTTTTTTATCTCTTTCTATATATATATATATATAAAATATAATGTTTTATTTAGGTCATCATTCGATTGGAATTCACCGCCGTATGATATTCCGGATATGTTCTCAAAACCTGGAACACCGTGTAATGATTATAACGGTTACTGTGACGTCTTTCAAAAATGTCGAGAAGTGAGATCAACATTTTCAAATTTATTTCATATACGTTAACTTTTGTCTTATAATAATAATTATTATTATTGTTGTTGTTGTTGTTAAGGTTGATCCGAGTGGTCCATTAGCAACATTAAGAAAACTTTTATTATCCGATGAAAGTCTTGCAACTGTTCGTCGTTGGGTATCCGATCATTGGTACGCAACAGCTTTCATCATTTTAGGAGCAGTATCATTATTGGTAAGTAATAATAATTTATTTAATAAAAAGCACGGTTGTGGGGTAGGGACGGTGGGAGGGAAGGAGGGAGGGAGGGAGGGAGGAAGGGAGTTTCAAATTTATTTGCATTGTTTGCGTTTACAACGAACTATAACGAGCGAGCAGCACCCTACACGGATAGATATTATGCATGGCACTTAATTTATTATTTACATTTCACGTACGAACTTTACCAGAATAAATGCAGGATAAAAACAACGGTGCAGTCTGAAAAGAGTAAGTTGGAGGAACACACAAACACACAGATAATACACGAAAGTAGGATGCATATAAAATGTATTTCGTAGGCTTTATTATCGTATAAACATATATTGTTAGTTTTTATTTTTTTTTCAATATTTTATCGTAGATATAGTATGGGCTAACAAACAAAAAAAAAAGTATATGTGTAGCACGTGTTTATCGTATAGCTAAAATTATTAACAAAATAGACGAAAATAGATAGAGGAAATTTGTAGATTACGATAAATGACTTTGTTCAACGAATAATAATAATATTATTATTTGTAATTTTAATTTGTAATTATTTATTTAATTATTAATTTAATTATATAAAAAATGCGCGCCTGTTCGTATGCAACCCACCAGACACAGTTTGAAAATGTTGCTTGCGAGTGCCATCTACTGAGACGGAATTTTTTTCCAGTCAAAACTGTTTATACACGTATGTATGACGGGTTGCCTATCTTTCGGGCAGAAAAAAGCAAAGCGTTCGTAAGCAACATTTTCAAAGTGTGTCTGGAGGGTTGCATACAAACAGGCGCGCATTTTTATCAATTACAAAAAAAAGTAAATAATAAAACACTTTAAAATATGTTTTGCAAATCAAATATTTTTTATAAATAATGATAAAAAAAAATTGAACTCTAATATTGTAATTAATTTATGCATATTTTTAGAATAATATTTAGTATTTTATATGAAATAAAAATAAAAAATCATGTATTATGAGATATGGTATATGTAATGAGATATGGTTATATATTACGAAGGTATATTAATTAAATTGTTAATTTATTCAGATCGCCAGTATGAGGTTCCTAGGCAAACGACCGGATCAGAAGCTCAAATCGGTGACAATAATCCACAGTTCGACAACGGAAACGGTACGGTTGCCGCCGGAAGGTGCGGAGGGAGTGACAGTTCATCCGGCAGCCGTTCGTGCAAAGCTTCCATTGAACAGGAAAGTGAGGGAGAAGAGAAGACACCGGAAGCATAAGGACACGCATGTTGCTCCTGCCGATAAATCAAACAAGGTATAATACTCTCAAGATAATCTATCTCTGTGTGTGTGTGTGTAATATGAATTTAATTTGTATTTGTTTTGAAAAATCCCCCCCCCCCTCCAAAAAAAAAAACAAAAAGGATATTCTAAAGAAAAAGAAGCCAATTCAAACTCGGAGATCTTCAACCGTGCCATCGGAAGAAGTTGCTAGGAAACGAGTAACGGAAACGACAACAGCAGCAAATACAGCTGCTGTTACCGTTACTGCAGCAACAGCAACGTCAGCAACAACTGCAACAGCAACAACAGCAGTAGCAGCAGCTGTAGCAACAGGCGTGGTGATTCAAGACAACAGTAAACGTAAGAAAATTTCTAACTCAAGGGAGAAACAAAATTCGAATAACAACGGTGCCGCCAATAATTCGGACGTTGACAAACGTAATAAACGGAAGAAACAACATAGGAAGGAAGTTATTGATTATTCCTCAATGCAAGCGGAAAAAGAATCAGAACCGAATGCAGATCCCAAGAGTAAAGTACGATCGTGGTTATTAGCTTCGTCTCAGTGTAGACCGGAGAACTCAAGAACGTCCAGTGGTTTACCAAAAAGTAAATCGACACCGGTTGGATTGACGACTGGTGGTAACGTAAGTGGTGCTACGAGATTAGCTCAATCAAGGCAAAATGGTGTACCAAGGCGACCACTGGACTCTAGAGAGGTCAAAAGTTCGCCAGGTACTTTGGTTAGGAAGGAACGAGCTAGACTTCAAGTTGTCTATAAACCCCCCTTCAAGTTCAGCGTAAAACTACGTAAGGCCGATAAAGTAGCTCAAGTGCCAGCTCCTGCGCCAACTTCGGCCCACAATAATTTAACGAGGTCCACGAAATTGCCGAGAACTGGAGTTTTACTTAAAACTAAGAGAAGGGACAGAGTTAGAATTGGTAGAGCCAGACAGATTGCACCTACTGGAATTGGAAACGATAGTGGAGATTTACCGGAACCAACTAATTCCGATCTGCATACGGTACCATCAGATTTGGAAGTTTTACTCTCTGAAAGTGAATTTCTTTTTTCGAACACGTGACCCCACAAACTTATGATTATTTCTATCAAAGAGTTAACATTATTAGAATACTTGCGTTATAATTATCCAGCAGATGAATATTTTCTTTTCTTTAATACGTAAAATTGATTAACAAGAAGAAATGCGCTTAGCTTTATTTTACTTTTTTTATTATTATTAATATTATTTTTATTTGTTCCCACTCTTTGTCTTCCGAGTTAGGAGTAAGTTTAAAAAAAAAAAAAAAAAGAACATTTAAGTGTCCATTGAATGGATATTTAAAAGGTCGTGTTTTAAAGTGTTAGCAAAAGCTATTATTAAAATAATATGAACTCTCTTGAGTGCATAGAAGAAGACGTGATAATTTTGGTTGTTCTTCTCTATTTAATAGGAATTTTCGCAATCCTATTTACTCTTGCTAATCTGTTTATATAAATATTAGCATTTAGATCTTGATAACAGTGTTATATATATATATATATATATATATATATATATATATATGCCAAGCTAAAGTGAAACAAGATTTCTTCTTTCGTAAAAAGGGGCCAAATCTACCTTTAAAAAGACTAGAAGAAATATATGTGTCAGCAGAGTGAACGAAAAGACAGAAATAAAAAGATAAGAAGAAAAAGAGGATGAAAATAATAAACATAAACTAATGAAACAGAGTAAGAAGAAGAAGAAGAAGAAGAAGAAGAAAAAGCTGTAAAAGTGTGCCAGTGTTTGTTCATTTGCAATTTGCATTTCAGAGAAAGAGAAAGAGAGTATATGGAATAAAAAAAAACAATCTCTCCTTTATAAATAATATAATATTCGTTTATATATAAATATAATATAGAAAAAAAAAATAAATAAAAACTGAAACGCTGCCTATAAAGAGACAAACAAACAAAAAATGAAAAGATGGTGTAATTTGCTACGTATTCTTTTTTATATTGTCGATATCGTAAAAAAAAACTTGTCGATATTACCAATAATAATAATAATAATAATAATAAAATTGGCTCGATTTCACGTGACAATAAATAAATTGTTACTTTTTCTTTTTTTTTTTTTGTTTTTTACAGTAATTGATAATAAATGTTATGACTTTGTTTCGTCGTGAGTAATATACAGGGTATCCAAGAAAATCATTTGATCGAATATAAAAAAAAAAAAATAAAATAAAATGTAAATTGGTTTATTTGATAGATTTACAATATTTGGATTTTTTCATTATGAGTTATGAATTTATACAGTTACAGTATAATTGAAAAAAACAAAAAAGTATTCTGTCAACTCGAAAGAAAAATATTGATCATTTTGTTAATTTGATGTAAATGAATTTTTGGACACGTTGCGACATTATTATCACAAAATTAAATTTGATGTTACGCTGATTATACAGTATTACGACAACAAAAGCCATAACTTTTACTGTCACGTGAAAATGTAGCTTTGAATAATCGCGATTGTCACGATTTAATAAAATAAATAATAAAACGATAATAATAATACTAATAATACTTAATAGTAATAATAATAATAATTATTATAATAATGATGATGATGATGATGATGATGATAATTATTTTAATTTTTCTATTTTTTCTTTTTTCTTTTTCTTTTGCATTTCTTATAAAACAGTGACTGTGACTGTCCAAGACTGTTTTCTATTCAAAAGCATTCTATCGATTGTTGCCTATTTACAATAACTATTCTCAAACTGCCTAAGTAAAGTTGTTTCGATGCAGTTTCCTAATGGTTCCTATTAAATCGGCTAAAAGGGCCGGCTCACTTTGAACAATAACTTTGAGCCAAATTCATTTTGCTCGTTCTCTCTCTCTCTCTCTCTCTTTCTCTTTCTCTCTCTTGTTCCAATCAGATTGTCTCAACAATTTTATCTATACACACCTTGTGAACATTTTTCAACTATTCCTTTTTCATTGTTTGTTTGATCGAATTTTTTGTTCTTTTTTTTTTTTTTTGGTTAGGTTCAATTAAATTAAATGGTGTATATGTAGAAAAATTGAAGACAATCGTTGCTTTTAGAATATCGTGATAGATATGAATTATGCTGTAAAAATTGTACGTTTAGTTAACTCGTTTTGTAATTCAATCGAGTGACTTCCATTTTGTAGACAAAAACAAATAATACACACGAGATATATAAAAAGTATATTGAAATTAAATTGATATCATTTTAAAAATGATTTTCTAATTAAAAATATTATATTAATTGTTTTTTTCATAAATATATATATATATATATATATGTAATACATATTTCATAATATTAGGGGGACCGAAATAGTAATGGCCGTTACTACCCAAGTCAAATTATTTCTAATATTTTAAATCAAAAAATCGATTGTGATAATTTTTATAGTTTTCATATTAAAAATATTGCATAGCAGATTGAAAAAGATTGATTAATCAATTTAATTAATTAATTTAATTATTGATTAATAATAAAACAAAATTTGTTTGAATTTTGAGGTTAAAAAGCGACACATTACTTATCGGTCCACCATTGTATATTTGCATAGATAATTTACTGCATTTATA